TTGTCAGGCTGAAAGAATACGAGATGGAGAGAGAAACTGTCCATCAACAAGTCTTAAAAACAGGGCAGCAGTACACCTGTGTCCTTCTGAGATTGTGTCTCTGCTTCCTGGGAGGTTTCTAGGAGCTGGCAGGCAAAAAGCTGCCCGGGCAGCCCACCAGCCCACTCAGTCCTGTGCTGCACGGCTCTCCCCAGCCCAGGAGGGATGGGGATGCAGGAGCAGTGAGGACAAGTTCATCCCGCTCTCACAGCTCATGGAGGATGTTCAGCAATGCGGCAGAAAGTTTGCTGAAAGTATCAGCGCTGGATAAACAGCTCTTTGGAGAAGGTTTGCTGCAAATACATCTCACAGACGTGCTGGCAGTTGAACACAGATACACCACTGCACGCAGCAAACACGAGCAAAAAAGGACCTCAGTAGTGATGAATATAAACACATGCACACACTGGATATTCTGCAGGAACCCTGTCAGCAGAGAAACCCATTCCAGGGCCAGCATGGCTAGACAAGAACCTAACTGCTACAGACAGGAGCCTTTCTGACCTCAAACTACTCTTGCTGCAGCCCTCAAGCCCCAACAGATAAATTTTGACTAAGAGCTTGGCAAATCCAGCCACTCCTGGGGGTTACGTAAAATGGATGGCTCCTGACCACGTGAAGTGTGAAGACCTAGAGCTGCTGATGACAAGGTGAGAGAAGAAAAGGTAACCATACAAATGAGAGAGAGAGGGACTGGCAGCAAAAGGACAGACAACAAGGACATCAGTGGAGGTGCAGAGCTAAGAGGATGCTGATTCTGCTACATGGGCTGGGGAGCTGGGACAGAGACTAGTTTCAAGAATAGGATGAGGAAGTGGCCAGCAAGGAAAACCAAAGTAACAGGCAGAGGAGAAGTCTGTTTTGCAAGACACAGCATTTGTGCTGAAATCCAGAGCTGAAGAAGCAGAGCAGGGAGTTGCCAGGTGGCCTGGAGGATGAGGAGTGCAATGAGGCTGCAAAGCTGAGGATGGCACTGTGGTAGTGCCAGTGGGCAGCTCGGCTAACAGGAGTAAGGCAATAAACTGTGTTGCTTATTGAGATTGTCTGCAGCTCCCTGTGCATCCCTTGCACTGCATAGAAGCTGCATTTATTAGTAACAGGGTGCTCTAAAGCTGAGCGGTGCTCTGCAGCACACCTCACCACTGCCTCACTGCAGAACACACAGAAGTGAGCAGTGCACATCCCAAGTCATTAACAAAAAGCAACCCATTATGGTATTATCTCTACTTATTTTGGTATCTCTTGCACGCTGCTCTAGCTGAAATGTGGCTGTGTGGTGAGAGGAAAATCGGAAATCAAGAAAAGATGAATGCAACGTCAGGACTGACTGGGGGAAAAAAATAATTAATAAACATGTTCAAATGTTTGAGCACTGGTAAAGAAAATGGAGCAACCCAGAAAATGTGACCCTGCCAGGCAGTCACCTCACAAGCATACCCTAAATTGAAATTTTATTTTCTACCAAATCACAACATTCCTCCTTTCTGACCCAAAATAAAGCCTCACAAATGCAAGTGTGAAGCACTTTGAAAGGAGGTCTTGTAGTCTGCAAGACCTGGCAGCTACAACTGGTGTCAGCTGGAGAATGCACACAGGAGAGGCAGAGGGGCCCAAGATGAAATATCCCAGAGATATGACAGCAAGGAAAAGAGTCTAGCAAGGAGCTGTGGCTTTCCTCAGAGCAGAAAGCCTTAATGCTTTTCTAGAGATGATGACCATCTCTGGCCTACTTCACCCCTGGGGCAACCCAAAGGATTGCACAAATCTGTAATTCCAAAAAGCTGCACTAAAGCACCAATATCCCAACCTCATGATGGGCTGGAGAGGTCATGCCCCAAGTGCCACTTGGTGATGGCCTGCCATAGGTGATGGCTTCACCTTATCCATCCCTTGGCAAATAAGCTTGTCCCAAAATAAAAATGCCTGCACAAGGTAAACCAGCCACCCAGCGCAGCAGCTACAGGAGCAAATGCTTTGAGGCTCAGGTCACGTTGCTGCACACTGTCCAGCATGGCCAATGTGACCTTGGTCCATCCCAGAGGCCTGTGACTCCTAGTGCCTGGGCTTCATCCCACAGGGACCTGCCTTCAGCACAGGAAACATCCATCCAACTGAGCTGAAACAGCAGTCTGACAGAAAACTGCAGGCCAAGACTGGCAGTTCAAAGGGGTGGGAGGAATACAGTTGCCCTTTCAGTGTCTCTGATCTCTTCCTGTGACAGTTCCTGGCCATTCCTCTCTGGAGCTGACGCCTGGCTGGTTCCACCGCTGGGAACCAGCTTGCTGATCCCACCACCCCCTGGGACAGACACTGCTCCGCTCCCACACCAGTGACACTTGCCAGCTCCCACCTTTGCCATGCTGAGCCAACTGGTGCTGGTGGAGCCCCAGGGTGCAGGAAGGCAGCTGGGAGGCTGGAGCAGCAGCACCTCATCCACAAAGCCTTTCCGCACTTGCTTTGTTGAGGTTTTTATCCTCATGAGGTTTCCACTCCCAGAATCACAGAAGATGGAGAGCAGAGCAGCCTCCATTTACCAGCAGTTAAAAAATCAGAGAGCAAGAGAGCAGGAAAGCCCTGAGGAGTGCGTGGTGCCCGGCACACACAGCTCCACACGCGCAGTCCGGCACAGGCGCCTCCGCAGCGATGGTGAAGGACGGAGAAAGAGGGGGTGTAAAGGATGGGGAAAAGGGGGGGTTTGCTGCCAGGGAACAGGACAATAAACGGAGGTAAGAAAGGTGCTCACATGCACACCTGGCCCAGGGGAAGGAGGGGAAATCCCTGACCCGGGTGCCTGTGGAGAGTCTGCCCCAGGCAGAGGCTAGAGGAGGACTGTAAGTATGGATGGAGAAGCAAGAGGGAAAGACAACCTGTAAGAAAGGTACAGATCAGTCATTAACTGCCATCAGTGCCCTCCTGCCTCACACCTCTCCTGAAACACTTTTAAATCTTTTTTCATGGAATGTTTGACACATTTAATGCATGCAGTAGAAATTAAAGCAACAGATAACTTCATATTAATCTGTACAGGGACTGACAGGCTAGATTTAATCACTTCCTAGCTGTTCAGAGAGTTAACTTATTCTAGTACGATTCAAAGGCAAGGTAAAGGATTTTTTTTTTTTTAATCAGCCATTTCATAGTAAGAGAAAAATGTGCCGCAGCCTCGTGTGCGTCAGCACTGGGGGAAGGGAATACCTGCAGGAGAGCCAGAGGTGCTCTGCGAAGGGCACGCGAATCTCAAACGCCTTCTTTCAACCTCCATACTAAACGAGCACAATGAAAGATTTAAAGATGATCAGCTGCTTTCCACCTCCCATCTACAGGCTTTGGGGTCTGGGGTTCAATGCCAACTGTGAAAAGCAATTCACGTTGCAGCCCAGCCCTCTCTAGCTTCTGCCCCCAGGGCAGGCGTCTCTTGAATGCATGGCCTGCCCTGGAGCCTTCCTCTGAGCAGGGACAGGGAGCCAAGCAAGGACCAGCAAGCGGCTGTTAAAGGTCTAAAGGTCGGGTGACCTTTGCTGCTTTCAGCACGGGAAGACGCTTCATGCAAATGGACTTTGTGCAGCAACGTGAAAGTGAAGCCATGGAGACACCATGGCCAAGCAAGGTCCTTTGGCCAAGCACAGACCACAGCAATCCCTTCTCAGCTGCTGAGCATCCTTGCCTGGCAGTCAGCACAGCCACATGTCCTGTGCACTTCCAACAGGTTTTTCTCAGCAGTGCTAGGCACCGTGACCCTGTTCTGCCACTGCAGACCCCCAGCTGGCTTTGAAACGTGCAGCAGAGGCTTGCAGAGGCACTCTGCAAAGGCGTCGTGCAGGACAGGGCAGGGGCTTGGTTGCTCTCTGACTGCCCAGCATCAGATACAAACAAGCACAAACCAACTCTACCTCGCTAGTAAAAGGATGAAAAGCAAATTACAGTAAAAAATAAACTTAAGACAGTCCCTTATCCCAACCGTATTCCAACTGCAAATCCCGGCTAAGGAGGGTCCAAGGCAAGATGTGCACAAGAGCACAGGGTGAGGGCCAGAGCAACATCAGAAGCTCGAGCCTGTAAAAAGGGAGAGATTCAACTTTCAGTGAAGCGCTGCGGAAACTACTTTGCCGCCAGAGACCACAGAAATCACCACAAGCTCAGGAAAACGGAAGGAGGTCTGTCCAAAAGCAGGGCATGGTAGGACCAGTTCATCCCTGAAGCCAAGAAGAAATAGACAGACAGAGCCCAGCACGCCTGCCTGGCAGCAGTGAGCGTGGCAGCCTGGTACCTGCAGCATCTCCTGCACCTGAGCAGGACCTGCCAGCCCACGGGCTGTGCCATGGGGCAGTGAGGCAGCCATCAGCAGTACACATACCAGTAGCTAATGAATACTCTGCTGCAGGTAACAGCGTGGGACACCAGCAGCTGCTACGAACAAACTGACAAAGGACAGGTTGGCCTTTCTCTCCCTCAGTGATGGGAAATGGTTTTGGTTTTGCTTTAAATGCCACTAAGACAACAGACAAAAGGAGGACTCTGAAGGAAAGGGAAACGTTTGTGTGCACCCAAAGGCTGCCGAAAGCTACTTCATGTGCACAAAGGTGGTTTTCTTTCTGCTACAGTACAAGTGCTTGTGCCTCAAGTATAAAACGCAAGCCTCCAAATCACACAGACGAGCTTCTTATTTTTATTTTTAAAGTGATAAATAAGGCACTGTACTTTTAACTAAAACTCCCTGGTTCCAAGTTTAAAAAAGCCCCAAGGAACGTTCAAACTGCAGAAACTTCCTTCTGAACAGCAGAGCCAGACAGGTCGACCTCTTATCTGTCCGAGACACATCTGCCGATGCCTAAAATCACGGGCGTTATCCTTTAACTGCGGATTTTTAAAGGCTTGCTACAGCTTATAAAAGCAGCTTTAGTTAATGCATGGTAAAGGGTTACTACTATACATCAGTTTTGTACATGGCTACCGGTTCTTTGCTATTTCGGGTCCAGTCGCGAGCGTTTGCTGTGTGAACAGTCCACCTTTGCTCTGAGCTTCCTCTTGCCCTGTGACCCGCCACTCTCCTGCATCTTCTTCATGGACCTCGTCAGGGTCTTCCCACTGCTGGACTTCTTGTTGGCCATCTTCTGCGACCGCGTGGAGGACTCTCCCAGGGGCTTCTGCTTTGGGGACTTGCCCAGCTCCTCATGGCCAGAGGGCATCATGGCCCGTCTGCTTGTGTTCTCTTTGCCCTTCCGCATGGGGAGCCGCACCTTCTCCAGCTGCCTTTTTGGGACTCTCTTCTCTTTTAAAGACATTTTTCTAGCTAGCTTATTGCTCTTCTCCATGGCAGCCTGCTTTCGGGTGGCGGGAGCTTTCACACTGACCTCTGAATGCTTTATTTTACTGGCCTTCTTGGTAGGCAGCTTGTCCTTGGTGGAGGAGCCGGATCGCTCCTGGGTGCTCCCGCTCTCCTTCAGCGTCCTTTTCTTTCTGCTGAGCTGGAGGTCAGCTTTGGGCAAGGGGTCCTCCTGGGACCTGCTCTTCCCCTTCCGCCCTTTCCCCATCCCATCCACTGATGGAGATTTAGCTGGAAAGGCATCTGCTTTGATCTGCAAGGCCAGCTTTGGAGACATCAGTGGGTTGATGCACACGCTCTTCTGGCTCTGCTTGCTCTCCAGGGTTGGGTGGTCCCCTGAGCCATCGCTCTTCTTCTCCGCCTTCACCATGCGGTGCTGGGCTCGCAGCTTGCCCCGCAGATTGGAGTACTTGCGAAGGATCCTGGTGCTGGCCTGTGTAGACTGGATGGTTTTGTCTTCGCTCAGGTCCTTGGTGCCGACGTCGCCGGGAGACATCTGGAGAGGAGCGGTGGCTTCTTCAGCCTCCGCTTTATCAGCATTCTCCCGAATTTTGGCCCAAAGCTTTTGGTTCTTCAGGTTATTCCGAGCTGGGGTAGTGGCGGCAAACTTCTTTAGGTGTTTTTTCAAACGTTCGGCTTGCAGCGAGCTAGGGTAGAGACTGGAGGAGGAATATTTCTGCATGGGGACTTTGATGGGGGGGATCTCCCCTGGGAGACGGGTGTTGAGTTTCTTTACGATCACTAGAGACCTGGTTTCAGTTGTCTCGAGAAACCACTGGCAGATGTCAGACAGATTAAAGGCCTTCATAAACAGCATCTGGACAGGAGAAAGCTTCTGCACTTCCAGTGAGCCTCTACTTTTCCGTGCCCTTTTCTTGCTTTTCCAAATCTCTTTCAGTTTGTCAGATTTGTTCTTTACCTTGGGGGTTGGCTGCACCTCCTTTTCCAGCTGAATCCAGCCCTTCTGAACTTTCATGTACTGGGCATTGAACTCGGCAATGAGCTCTTGGTTCTCTTCTTCAGCACACCACTCCATGAACTTTGGTTTGCTGTCAGCCATATCTATGTCCTCTAATGCTGGGGAGTCGTAATTCCCTGAAGTGCTTTCGTCCCTTGGTTTGGGGATCGCTTGCATAGACTCCTTCCCTAGTGTGCTCTTTTTTGCAGTGTCTGTGGATGTAGGTGCATGTCTTAAGTTATAAAACTGCAGAGCGACCTTTTTATGCTTCACAGTCTTTGCTGGAAGGTGCTTGCTTCCACCCCTGCTGCTGGGACACGGAGGTGAATTGGACACCAGGTCGTAGTTGTCCAGCTTGCTCGTGTCCATGGCACTGTCAGAGCTCTCCTCATCCTTTGTGCTGGTATCACCCAGTTTCATATCCACTTGCTTGGCATCATTTTCAGGCACGCTGCTCTCTGGAGGGAGGAGAAAGCTCCTCTTCTCAGAATCAACCTGGGCGCTGATTTCCAGCATCTCATCCAGTTGACTCTGGCTGCCATTACCAGGGGAGTCATCTTTAGAGGAATTTTCGCCCTCTGCTGCAGTCTCTTTTGCTATGATGATTTTATAGGTTTGTCTGGTGGTGACACCATTCTCCTCGCCTGGCTGCTGCCCAGCGGTGCTCTCTGGAGCCTGGCCCGTGCCCAGCCCCTCGCTGGCTTTGTGCGGCACGTCGGGGAAGCAGTCGTTTGGGAAGTGCATGGATGCTGCCCCATCCAGGTGCACTTCTCTCTTGAACCGCTTAGTGCTAGGGCTCTTGGAGAGTTTGATCTGAAGGCAAGGAAGCTGAACAGAGCTGGAAGAACCAGTGTCCTCAGCACTGTCCTCAGTAGGTGACTGGGATTGCTGGCTTCGGAGACGCCGGTCTGACACCACAAGCACCCTCCTTCCTTTCTTTCGCTTCTTGTCTAGAGTGTCTTTGGAAGAGACAGAGTCTTTCCCTGCAGTGTCTGAGCTGTCAGGTTCAGGTGGCGTTTCCCCTTCAACGGGCTCTTTTTCATCTGCTGGGCTGTTATTCTGTACTGCCTCCCCTTCTGAGATTTCAAGGAGAGCTGTGCTGGCCAGCACAGCCTCCTCTTGCTCAAGGGAGCCATCACCCACCACATCGGATAGCCCAGCTTCTGGTTCAGCATCGATGCTTTTGTTCACATCCATACACAGCAAGGTGGCAGGGGGCTCTGGGGGACTCTCCCCGCCCATGGTAGCAGGGGGCTCACTGGGAGCCTGACAGCCTGGAGAGCATGGAGGGGGCTCTGACAGACAGAGCCCACAGGGCTCCGCGTCCTCTGTGCCTGGAAGCTGGGCAGGATCCCTGGCACCATTGTGGGCCAAGGGTGCTGTGTCCACAGTGGCAGAGGGCTGCAAGGGGGACTTTGGCTTTGGGCTGGCAGGGAGGTTGGGATCAGTTTGTACGTCAAAGCCTGGACAACCTTCCTCCCTGTTGGGTGCTTCTGAGACAGGAAGGGCAGGAAAATCATCAGCCTGCCTGCTGGTGCTGCTGTCCCCAGAGGAGCCCAGGCTGC